ATCAATGAGGTCCTTGCTTAAGATATTTGATAGGCAAGTAGCTAGGTACCTAGTGGGGCTGATACATGTAGAAAGGTGCATGTACCTACATCTGCTAGGTACATGCAGCTACACCTAGCACCTTTCAGCAGAGCTCAGCTTGCCGGTCAGCCGCTATCGATAGTGTTGTGTAACGGTGTACATAGTAATTTAGGGAATTACAAATTCCCAAGGTAATATGGAATTTGAATCGGAACATCCAATGTCTTATCTTTTTGGGTCTTGCGTCTTGGTTCTTGGCCTTCGAAGCACAGCCCCCCCGAAGGTGACGCGCATCTCGCATGAGGTTGCGAAAGCTTCAGCCAACATGGCACTTACAAAGAAATCAATTGATTTTATCATTGTCGCCTTAACTACCTCTATTTTAATCCTTGCAAAATAACACCATAACATTTAACCAGCAAGGATATATTCTTAATCTTTCTGCCAATATCCTCTCGTATCCTTCTTCTCTCTTAGCGATTCATTCTTACGAACACGCGAACCTATCTTAGCCACCTAGACGAACCTTCTAACCGCTTCGATTAGCGCAGCTTTTGAGTTGCGATACTGTCTTAGCACCTCGGCAAGATGTGTCTAATATTTACCTGCGGCGAGCACACCTTCAGGAAAGAGGTCGAAGGCTACGAAGGTGTCATTTGTCAATGCCATAATTGTGGTAACTGGTCCGGACATGTCATCAAAAGCAATCCTTGGTTTACCTTCTGCTTCGTGGTAAGTAGAATAGCATGATACCCATACATACCTACCTACCTAACCTAACCTATCCTATCCTAACTATAAAAAAGCATCGTATTGCGAGTAAATGCTAATGTGAAACGTAGCCCGTCGTCCCGCTATCTATCCATGGCTACCAGGACGTAGTCTGCCATATCTGCAACTTCGCGCAGCCTTTAGAACACCGACCCGACGCTCAGGCGATGCATCGTGGTGGGGGAGGAGGAAATAACGTTCCAATGCAGAATCAACCGCCCGCTCCTCAAGGGCCTCCGCAACAAGGACCACCTCCGGGATGGGGCCAGGGACCGCCCCAAGGCCAGGCTCCTATGAGATATGGATAGGAATCAGGTACAAGAGACTATGTTAAGGTTTATGATCCAAAACAGCGGGAGTTGAATGCTACGACGACCGAGTACACGATACGAAACAACACTAGTGGTCGCATCATATTGCACGGCACCGGGGTCGGAGTTCAAGGATGGATTTTGCGTGTTATTAAGATATCGATATCCTACTTGGGGCGTTTTCGCTTGACTTGTGAATGGAAATATGATTACAGTTCATATTTTAGGGGTTCTTCTATCAGTTGAATATGACCAGGCGTGCGTGGCGGTTGATTTGGCGTGTTGAAGGTGGTTGGTGAAGGTATTACGGTTCCGTGTTCCGTACTTGTACCCAAGGCATACTGATTGGCTTGAGAGTTACAGGCTATAGGTCTTCGACACGAGGCTGTATATACCTTATATCAATAAGAACTTTTCCAGAAGATATGCCGGCACATCAAAGTTCAAGTGAAATAGCGATGTCAAAACTTGTCTGTTAGAAGATACCAAGCGCAGCCCTAGGGTTATCAAGGCAGGTTTTAAATCGTAATTATTGATGTTAATAAGTAGTAGTCGTTTCTAGTCGTTTGGCTATAGGACTAGGCATCTAATCACTTCGACGATAGCGTTTCACTCATAAAACTCGAGCCTGAGCGCATGTATAGCCAGCACACTACACTCGTCAGAGCCATGAACGGCCCGAGCCCTAGGAACTGACCTTTTATCTATTTAAACACGCGGATCCCGCTCGGCACTGGGGACTATCGCTTTACTTCCCCGCCACACAAAGACAGAAATTCGAAATGTCTTCATACGACTCAATATTACTCGCTCGGCTGTTCAACCACTTCCTCACACCCCCTCATACCGACTCACCTCATCGGGTGTCACGCAAGAGGAGGTGCGTGAGCGAGTGGATTGACGACCTGTTTGATCACTGGTACGAGTTGCTGTTCGACGATGGGGAGGAATTCTTTTCTAAACCGAAGGAGGGTGCTGTTCGGTACCGTAGCGCAGCATGTAAGTTATTCATCGCCTCTGAGCTTATGCGACCAGAGTATATATAATATATAGTTAAGGTATATATATATATATATATACTAATGAGACTATAGACGATGAACATATTCGACAACTGAGGGAGGCTGCATGCGATTGCTGGTTTTTCTCACCGCGGCCAAGCCGATGGTTCTGCATGTTGACATGCTTCCTGGTGTTTATGCCTATCTACTACGCACCCTACGTAACCGATGCGGTTCTTGTATCCATCGGTAGACTTCTCTTCATCTCTGTCATCGTCGCGCCTCCCGCTATAGGAGGCTTGTATGCCCACCCACCAGAGATTTGGGGAGAGACGAAGAAAGCTCTCGTTAGGAAGGGGAAGAGATGGGCTACATCTTTCATTTCTATCATCTTAATTGGTCTTGTATATCTTGGAAAGTCAGCTCGGCATTGTTACCAGCACCTGAACAGGCCGACACAGAACTAGGATTTTACTTGCACTCCCGTACCAATCAATATAAATCTCTTCTCCAAACTTCGTACATCGTGCCGATAGTAATCTTGTTATGCAAAAATTATTTCTTCCTTGATCTGACTTCACGGCGATACGGAATCTTTCGTAGCCTAAGAGAGTTCAAGAATAGGATCCCGACAATATATAGACCATATCTAGGTAGGTAGGTAGCCAGGCCATCGCTCAACCTAATTCAACACAGGCCTCCAGCCCTTCCGTCCAACGTGTCCAACAATACCTTCATCCCTTAATACACCCGCACCCGCCCGTCCCGTCACAACGCTCCTCTCGACCTCGACACCACGGACATAAAACGGGAGCGTAAGTCGATTTCCGCGACCACCACCACCACCACCATCATCATCATCATCATCACCAACACGTTCTCTCCCTTCTTTTTCCTTTCCCCCCTCTTCAGCTTCCCAAACTACCCTTCCCGCCCTCCGCCTCCTCACGAACCCGCATGCCTCCCTGTCGAGCGACAAGTACCACCGCCGCTGGTGCACGCTACCGATCGAATTCTCCGCGCCCGCGTACGCGTTCGTCCGGCGCACCTGCTCGTCCTCGAGCTCGCGGATCTCCCTCTCCATCGCCGATACGGGTTCCGCATCTACTTCCTCAGCGGGCGCGGTTGCGATCTCCGATTCTTCGTTCCCCGCATCCTCATATTCTTCTTCTTTTCTATCGACATCGGAGTCCGAGCTCGTTTCCAATTCGATCGCCTTACGCTTCCCCCTGCTTCGGCCTTCACTTCGTCCCAGAGCGCTTCCTCCTCCTCGCCGCCGCCGCCGCCGCGTGGGAGCGCGTGCGCTTTTAGCGCGGCCGGCTACGTCTTCTTCCTTGGTGAGTCGTAGGTTTAGCACGTAGTTATGCGGAAGACGCGTGCCGTTGAGTCGGATGCGGATCTTCCGTGTTTGAAATGCCTGGTGGAGTTTCTCCTGCTCTGAGAGCGTGGACCATTCTCCCTCCTCCTCTTCCTCGTCGGATTGCGAATTCAAATTAGGTCCTCTTCTGTTTTCCCGCGGCGGGAGAATAGTGTATGTTCCCGTATCCCATATGAGAAGAGAACCGGTTGATATCGAGGCTGTCTCTATGAGATGATTCTGTAAATGGGAAATTAAGTTAGTAGGCGGAGTTGAAATAGCTAGGTACCTAAGGTAGGGATCAGAGTCATGTTCAGGGGAACTTACCCATAGACAGTGGATCCTGGTCTCCGTGGCGTTTCTGTTGAGGCGCTGGCTATTCGGATCGCCTGGGAGACCATACATGATAGCCCAGGAAGCGCTGCTCGTCTCGTTGATCTGCAAGCGGAGATCGTAATGCGTGCCCGCGATGGGGTGGTCATGCTGATGCACGATGAAATGCGCGCCTCGCGGATTGCCCGAGTTCCGCTCGTAAAGTTTCTTGTATGCTCCAATAGATAGTCTCGGCATATCCGGCGGGAAAGGCGACAGTACAGCCTTCGCCAAAAGCCCGCTGAAGTAGCCAAGATAGTCCTCGATTTTGGCCTTACCCGCCTCCACAGCCGAAGCCTTTGGGTGCTTTTCCTCCGTCCCGGAGTTGTAGTCATCTGTCCCATCGGAGCTACTATTTTCATGGGCGTCGCGAACCGGACCAGAAAGATCGAATGTCCATTCTAAATTCTCTTTTTTGATGAAGGGATTACTGACTAGTTGGGGACTAAGACCCCGCTTCGGTGGCATATTGACGAAATGTCAACCAAACAGGTTGGTTGGCTCAAGAATGGATTGGACACCTGAGTTGGTGAGTTGCTAAACAAGCTGTGCTAAGCTGACGATACCCCTTTCTCCCTTAATACATTCCTGTCAAAGCGCAATCACTCAACTTGTGGGTGGTAAAGCAACGAGAAACAAACATAATAGAGAGACATCTCAGGAGGTGGCGGATAACTGATTTGCCAAATATCGCGGCGGCTTGACCCTGCTTGTTTATTTATCCCATTCTCTTCTAAGTCTTAGAAAGATGATGGATGAGTCTAGTGATTAGGACTGATAATAAAATAAGTAAATCCAAGGACGCTCTTATGAGGGGTATGTTTCGCTGTCTATCAGGTGTCATTCAGGTACTCATGGTGTAGTAAATCTGGGTGATGTTCCCCAAATAACATCACCAACGACTCTAGTAGTCAGTCGACCTGGTGTTTAGGTAGCAAGCATGATGATAGTTGGGTGGTAGGAATCTGACGGGGTTATGACGCTGATCAGCACGACTAAAGACCTTGTTTTGAAATTAAGACATATATGTATATGTATCCTTGGAACCACGATCTGCTGACTAACAAGCCGAGTTTAACAGTTCAAAAGATTTCATCTCATGCCAAACGGCAAGTTCACAGGTTAAAAAGGTGAGGTTACGATGTTGAGGAACATCAAAACGAAGGATGACAGCGGTGGGACTCGAACCCACGCGGATTGCTCCACTGCGAAATTTTGAATTCAGGGTCAACCTGAACGCAGCGCCATAACCACTCGGCCACACTGCCTCGCTTGTAGTTGTAGATTGCTAGAAGCAGAACATGATTTTTTTGGTCGCTTTGGCATACTATATCCTAGTTGCATTTTTGCCCCGAAACAGGCAAGTGGGGTAGTCCAGATTCTGCCCTGTGCGTGATCCGATTGGTTGATCTCCACCTACTAGTCTATCAAGCTACTGCAGGTGATTTTTTTTTTCTAGACTGTTGAACTTAGAGAAACCATTGACCGTTAGCACCGTTGTGAGGAATAATACTGATATTATCATTGTCTTGTCTGTATTACGTATTACGTTTATATACCTACATTATTCTATCTAAATATTTATAAGATAATACGGCTTTCAGATCTTATTTTTCATACGGAGTCAAAGTTTCAAGGCGCCGTAACCTCAGGGGCATCGACTGTAGTCAACGTAATGTCATCATAGTACAACTTATTCGTCGGACCGCCCGAATTACACTGCGAACTAAACACGATCGTTGCTGTGTCGCTACTCGCAGTCCATAAGTCAGTGTAGGTAGCATACAGGCCCCGGTGGGAAGTCAGGTTAGGTCGCCGCGTTCGCACGTTATTAATTAATATATCCATTACGCACCCTGCGCTCGGGTCCATCTTGAGAGTATCTTCAAGTCGGTTAGCCGTTAATGTCCGAGAGAGGTGTGTATACCTAATTCTGGGTCGTTTTACTTACATTGGAACGAGTATGCTTGTCCCGCTACGACTGAGGTGGTCTGCTGTAGACGGATTTGCCAGAGGCCTGGTATTCCCTGTGCGATGAATGATCGCAAGCCCGAGAACGGGTCCGTATCTAGTGAGCCGCTGTTGGCCACATCGAGATGGTATCCTGAAAAGGTCCACGAAAGAGGATCCGTGATCTCAAAGCCGGAATTGGCAACAGCCTTGTGTCGAAATTAGTAAATTTCTCAACCTTTTTTTTTCTTCTTTATGTCCGGAGACTTACTTGGATATTGGTAGGGGTAGGCTCTGCGGACGTAGTTGATGATGTAGTTGAAGGTATCTCCGACGAAAAAGTACTTGATGAAGTAATACTCGGCGAAGTTTCGATGCTGCTGATTGAGGAGGTCGTTGAAATAATTGCTGAAGAGCTTGTCTCAGTCGCCGATGTGCTCTCCGATGATGAGGTTTCCGAGGGACTCGTCGAGGAAGCCGTCTCAGTTACTGTTATGCTCTCAGTTGATGAGATTTCTGAGGAGCTCGGTGAAGAGCTTGTCGAAGAGATTGCGGCCGAAGATTCTGTGCTTGATGTTGTTGAACTATCGCGGATTGTAGAAGAGATTGTAGAAGATAGAGCTACAGAACTGGTCGTGGGGTAGAAGTACGACGACGTAGTGTTATAGATGACATACGTGCTCGATGGCGTCGAACTATACGAAGAGGTTGTCGAAGCTGGCTCCCTACTTGACGTCCTCGGCTTGCATCGACTCGCATTCGCTACCTCACATAAGACCGACAAGGTTGCGGCAGAGACTACGTGTTTGAACAACATGATTAAACGAACGCCTTAAGTCACAAGGAAGCGCTGGATTAGAATGAATGACACAAGCTCGTACGTTACTCTCAGCAGTCGCCGGTACGAAAACCGACTTTCAATGAAGCATTTCGGCTCTACGCAGAGTATATATAAACCAAATCCTACGTCCTCTCTGGTGTCGAACTAGATAGCCGAAATTGCGTGGCGCAATTGGCGCCGGTGGCCTAGAAGCCATTCCCGCTGATCTTGAAGCTCAGCTGAAGCACTATAAAAGACTACGTTGCTAGCGGCTCCAGCTAAGCTCCTCTTCCTGTATTTAACTAATTCAAAGACCGCTAATTCAGGAGAACAAAGAGCTATTCTAGAGACTAACTCTGTACTTTTGCTATTCTCGTCCGGATTAAGGAATGCTAGTCGACTGCTCTATACCCCTGGCCAGTAGTATCAACTACTTCTCGGGTAGTGTCTGTTGGTATGAAGCCGGTGTTCTTATAGGGCCTAGACTCTCCATTGCTGCGAAGACGTGTCGTACTTGACGAATCTGTAGAAGGGAATGACGCTGATGTTTTATTTTATCAAGTCAAACTTTTTGTCATGCAATAAACTCTAATATGAACGCCGCACGTATTTTATAATTACCTGTTACAAGGTAATTATAGGCAATGTAGAATGAACTTGGAACTGACTCTAATATGAAATTAATTAATAGATTGCTGCTACTCAGATAAAACACATCTATAAGTAAATTTGCTTAGAGATAGATAGGTATACCTCTAATATACACCTTACCAACTGTATCTAAAGTACCTTATCCTTACGTCAAATCTAATTACCTATTTCTTTACCATCGGGACCTAGCATTCCACGTGGTATCGGATGCAGCTACGAGCATTGGTGGCTTTCTCTCTCGACACGGAAATATTCTCATCAAGTTCGATGACATACTATATTTTGGTCTAGGCAAAGCTATCAATTTGCCGTCTTGCCAATTTCATATACCTTAGAAGTGAAAGTATTGCCCACGGAGCAATTGCGCATGTGCCAAGTTGTCCAGGCGGATATCTCAAAAAACCCGGAGTAAGTATATACAAGAATGTTATAAGAAGCCAAAATAGCAAAGTCTGCCTTTCCACATACACATATATATATATCCCCCAAAATCTTCATAAACCTCTTATTTTTTCTTCACCGGGCTGAACATCGGCCGGGTTTGAAAAAAGAAAGACATTTTTTCTTGTGCCCCCAGTTTCCCTGAAAACGCCACGCCGAAGTCCCAAGCTTATGCGACGGCTTTTAGCTATTGCTCTCCTAGTAGAATGTAGCCTTGAATCGTTCGTTCGAGGAGCAGATGACGGGGTTGCCGTGGTAGTCGTCGATGTACGCCTTGTCGTAACCGAGCTTGCTGGCGAGGTAGTCTCTTACGGCATCGACCACAACAGAAAGTAGGCCTTCGGTAGCCTCGATGACTTTGGATCCGTCACTTCCAAGTTCGAAGACGCCGTCAGGTGCGTCTGCTAATACGCTCGGGTCGTCGAAACCAGTGCTCACGCCGGTCCCATCGTCAGTAGCAAGGGTCACGGCGCCATCGCAACCTCGGATCAGCGATACATCACCGTAGCCCTTGCCCGTGCCATCTAATCCGATCTCGAGCCAGGTACCTAACAGGTGTGGTTGTCCGTCTAAGTTGGCATCGGTTCCCCGTACGATACGACCTTGGAATAGTGCCGGTAACGCTACAAACTTGGACTTCCCGGCATCGACGGTCACATACTTGAGCGGTATGCTGTCGCAGCTGTTCTCATACACGAAGTAGCTGCGAGTTCCGCTACCGCCGTTGCTCAGTTGAACCCCGGCACCCCCTTGATCGCCATCGTTAGTGGCGTCGGCTGCCTGAGTCGCACAGGACCCTCGAGGTGACAAGCCGCCTGAAAGATGACTGCTACGTATGATGCCGGATGGCAAGGCCACGGCAGTGGATAGAAGAAGGTTGGTGAGTGTAAAGAGTGACCTCAACATACTTCTAGCCGGATAGAATGTTTAAATAACGGAAAAGAGTGTAGTTGTAGTGTAAAGTATAGCTAGCAAAAGGCAAAAAAAGATTGGTTTCAAGTGTATAGACCGAAGTAAAGGAGTGGACTCAAGTTAGAAACAGAGATAAAGCAAGACAACATACTGACTACGGACGAGGAGGCGACATCCCCCCCTTTAAATATACTTACAACAAGTCCCCTAGATCCCTTTGACTCGATGCCATCAGCTGTAATAATAGGACTCTTACAGTATCAGATGTTTCACTACTGAGCTGTGGGCATGTGAGGCACTAGAAACTAATTATGAACTGGCTATCAGAAGCGAAGCCACGTAAGCTGATTGGTGGTGAAATGGGGGTGATGGGGGTGATATAGAGGACCCATAAAGAAATCGAACCGGAAACGACGCGTAATGATTCCCCATATTGGATTCGTCAATGCCGTGGAAGTGCCCGGCCTTGAAAACGTGCCTTTAGAAAAAAAATTATAAAGAGGGACCCAACAGTAATTCAGTCTTTCTGGTTACCGATTTATTAAACAGGCTTGTTATCCGGCTTTTATCTGAAGGAAGTGTGATACTGAGGGTTCCAGGGATCTAGGGTGGATCGAAAGAGAAAAGAAAAGGGGGGCCGCCGTCTTACAAAACCGTAAGTCAGGATGCACGAAATCGCATCCCGCCGTTGGAAGCGCTCCGTTATTGGTCTATCGCTCCGAATATTCTACCAATACCGGCTCAAAGGAGCGTCGTAAGCAAAGCGGTAGCGGCTTACTAAAAAGAGCCACAGGCTTTGTTGATAGGAACAGGTAAGCGTATGAAACAAGTATGGCTTGCATTGAGTCCAATGACGACCATCAAAGAGTTTTCGCGGATCTTCCAGGGACCTTGCATGTTGATGGTAATCCGCAACCCAGTTATATTATTGGACTAAACATCCGACTAGTTGGGACTCGAGGCCACATGGCACATGGTTGTCAATCACTCCATTGTCTTTCGAGAAGAAGTTGACAGAAGAAAAAAAAAAAAAAAGTGGTCTGTGCACTATCATCAAGATGAATTCGGAAACAAATCTACCATGTGAGATTTGGGGGTTCTTAGATACTAGAAAAAAAGAAAAAGAAAACCTGATAGAGAGAATAGTTTATAATTCGTAGGCAATTCCTGACAACCTTCTTAGTTGCCAGGTATATATCTAAGGTACCTAGGTATGCTAAGGTTGTTTATTGCAGTTTCATCCAACTCGGGGTTGACCTTAATTCACACAATAGTAGCTAGGAGGTATATATCAAATATCCGTGTTATATCCTTCCGACCATGTCCACTGTTACCAAGGGATAGAACAATCGATGACTAAATATTAAATACTGTGTAATAGACTTGCATGCATTAGGGTTCCGAGTAAATGACCCAAATGGGTCCCATTATGTTGCTCTACGCTCGCGGACGCATCCGTCAATCTATACCGTGCAGAAATAATAATTAGGTAGT